AAAAAAAAATAGAAATCAAGTTTTAATTTCCCTATTTGTTGTTTTAGTCTCTGTCAGAAATAATTACGGATCACTATTTCCAAAGATAGTCTTTAAAAGTTATATCCCAAAGAAACTCTACTCCTGGAATGAACCTGGGTGTTTTCATTTTCTGTTTTCCTAGATGATCTGGGGAAAAAGAATTCTATCTAGGTTTTTCTATTATAATAAAATAGAATTCTGGCTATAAGAAAATAATTGAGTATAAGCTTTTCTGTTATAAGTCTGTAAGATTATAAGACTTTACTCTTCACTGAGATCAATATAATTATAAATAAGAAGCAAAAGTAATTTGTGATAAAAACAACAGGAGATGATTTTGAAAGTGATGAAGTTAACAGATGTAGGTGAAATTGTGTATCTTAATATGCACTCCTCTAAGATGTATTATTGAATGCCTGCCTACTGAATTAAATTCTAGAGGTACAAGTCTGTTCTACATATGACATTTTTTAATTAAAGTTGTAACATTGTAACATTTTCCCTGTAGGTATGGAACAAGGCAGTTGTAAGAAATATATATATCTGAATAAATATTTGGGAGATGTGAAAAATGTTAAGGTTATCTATGGACCTGCAGCTCGGTTGCGGCCTACTGATGTCCCAGATAAATACTATTCATGTAAGTAGGTCTCCACGCTAATTACATTCAGAATATGCTTCTCTCCTTGGAACTTTAAACTGAAGGTAATAAAATTTCATTTTTTCTTCATAGTTAAATCCTTAGTGCAAATCCAGGGTGATTTTACAGCTTTGGATATAAGGATACAGTTTGAACCACTTATCTATTTGTTATTCATGAAATGGAGCATCATATTAGTAAAATTTTATGGTTTAGTATTTGTTTTTTGTTCAAGATTATGTCTATTAGAAAGATATGAGAAAAATTCAGTAACAGTTTATTCACATTTAACTAATGAAAATAAAATAGCTTCCAGCCATTTTAGAATAATAAATCACGTCATGAAAAGGAATGATGGCTGAGATAATTAGTTACAGAAAGCAATTAAGCAATTGAATCTTGCCCTAAGAAGTTACTTCCTGAAGCCACTTAATAAAATAAAGCAACAAAAGTACCGCTACACACCCAGTGAAAATACATCCTTTCAACAAGGAAAAAGAAATTTTATATTCTGCTTTGACCACACATGAACTCCAAATTAATAAATAAAATTTTAAGAAAAAAAATGAAAATATTAGTTCCTTTCCTGGCTAAGCCATTTTCATAATGATTTCTGTGTCTGTTCTACCACCTCTTTTGAGTACCCTCTTTGGTAGTTTTGAGCTACTTAGAGTAAATCTTAATTATGTTTTTGTTACAATTAACTTTGAAACTAAATGAGGAAAAAAAAGGCCTTTTGTAGTTAATCAAAATTGAGTTAGTTTTGGGTATTGCATTGCTATGCCTTTTTGTTGATACAACAAATGGTTGAATAGCTGTGAAGAAAAACATATTTCACTATTTCTTACTGCCAGCAAATACACTTATATAATGTTACAAGGCACAGGCAAACCTTGGAGCTGGACATTGAGTTTATCATCACTCATGATGATCCTATAGGATGGACTACAATGGCCCCATAGAGCGGGTGTTCTCTTTAGAGGAGGTCTCCTCTTTCTCTTTCAAAGTGGCTTTTGGATTGGAACTGCCAGCTTTTCCGTTAGCAGTGTAATGCTTAACTACTGCACCCTGTAACTCCTTAATATTAAGAAGGTGTTGTTGTAATGTGCTGCTGAGTCAACTATGACTCATGTCGTTGTTGTTGTTGTTATGTGCCATCGAGTCGTTTTCAACTCATAGTGACTCTTTTAACAATGGCTCTAAACCTCGCCCCAATCTGAGCCATCCTTACCGTCACTTATATCCCTGACCCCAGGCTGCAGTCACTGTGTCAATCCATCTTACCCAAGTCTTCCTCTCTTTAAATAACCCTCCATTTTTCCAAGCATAATGTCCTTTCCAAAGGACTCTCCTCTCCTGACAACATGCCTAGAGTATGTTAGACAGAGTTTCAAAATCCTTGCCTCTAAGGAACAATCTGGTTTCATCCTCTCCAGGACAGATCTGCTTGTTCTCTTGGCAATCCACGGTATGTTAAATACTCTTCTCCAGCACCACACCTCAAAGACATTGATTCTTCTTCTGTCATCTTTAGACATTGTCCAGCTCTCAGCTGCAGAGCAGGTAGTTGAGAAGACTATGACATGGTGCACCTTAGTCTTTAGACTGACATTACAGAGAGATCCTTGACAGCAGGTTTGCCCAGTGCAACTTGACTTTTGATTTCCTGACTGCTGGTGCCAAGGGTATTGATTGTGGACCCAAGCAAGATGAAATCGTTAACAACTTTAGTCATTTCTATTGACCTGGTGGTTTTAGGTAGTGAGGATTTTGGTTTTTTGATGTTGAGATGCAATCCATATTGAAAACCGCAGTCTTAGACCTTCTACAGCAAGGGGTTCAAGTCCTGCCCAATTTCAGTAAGCTAGGTTGTTGATGAGTATTCTTCCGATACTGATGCCACATTCTTCATAAAGTCTAGCCTTTTGAATGATCTGTTCAGCATATTAAGTGAAAAAGTATGGACAAGGGATAATCCCTAATACACTGCTTTCTTGATTTTTGAATCAATCATACAGTGTTCCCTTGCTCTCTATTTAGACAACAGCTTTTTGGTCTCAGTATAAGTTTCACATGAGCACAATGAAGTGTTCTTGGAATCCCATTCTTTTCAATGTTAGCCACAATTTGTTGTGATCCACACAGTCAGATGGCTTTGTACAGTTGATAAAACACAAATAAATGTCATCTTGATACTCTTTGAGTTCAGCCAAAATCTATCTGACATCAATAGTGATACTTGTGTCACAGCCTCTTTTAAACCCATTCATATTTCTGGTATTTCTTTATCTTTGTATTGTTCCAGTCGTTTTTGGATAATCTTCAGCAACAATTTGCTTCCCTGTGAAATTAATGATATTGTTTGATAATTTCCACATTATGTTGGATCACCTTTGTTGGGAATGGGAATAAATATGCATCTTTTCCATTCAATTAGTCAGGCTGTCTTCTGGACTTGGCACAACCTGGTGAGCACATCTAGGGCTGCATCTCTTTGTTGAAATATGCCAGTTAGTATTCCATCAATTCCTAGGGGTTCATTTTTTGCCAATTCCTTCAGAGCAACTTGAACTTCTCCCTTTATTATCACAGATTTTTGATCATATACTATATCTAGAAATGGTTCTGTGTGTCAGCCAATTCTTTTTGGTACAGTGAATTGATGTATTCCTCCCATCTTCTTTTGATGTTTTCTCAGTCATTCAAGATTTTGCCCATAGCATCCTTCAGTATTGCAACTTGAGGTTTACATTTATTCTATTCCTTCCAGCATGAGAAGTGCCATGCGAGTTCTTCCCTTTTTATTTTCTGACCCCATCTCTTTGCTCATTTTGTTATAGTACTTGGCTTCATCTTCACAAGCTGCCCTTTTGAAATCTTCTGCTTAACTCTTTAATTTCATCATTTCTTCCCTTTATTTTGATTTCTTGGGATTAATTAAAATCTTTCGCTTCCTTTATTAATACCAACTTACTTTCGTACATACATATAGTGTGTGTGTGTGTGTGTGTGTATATATATATATAGTGTGTGTGTGTGTGTGTATGTATATATATATATATATGGTATCCATATAGTTGTGCTGCTAGCTCAGATGCTGCATATCACATCTTTGGTGGTTCAGATACACCCGTGGTTCCATGGGAGAGAGATGAGCAATCTCCTACCGTGTGATTTACAGCCTCAGAAAACTGCTGAAGGATCAGCTGTGAGTCTGTTCTGACTCAGGGCATTGAAAATGAGAATGAAATATAATATTATTTTATCTCTTTTGTAAAAATTTTATATTGATTTTTATAAAAATTAATGTACATTGTATTTCTTTTATCTGGCTAATATCCTCAGATTTATTTAAAGTTCAGCTTAGGCTGAAGAACTCTTTAAATTATTGAAACTGTTACTAATTTGTATTGCAAAGTATACTAAGTAAAACTGAGCTTGGTATGCCAATTTTTTTAAAAATTTTATTATTTTTGTGTGCGTGTACTGTCAAATCAGATCTGACTGGTACAGGAGTAGATTGTCCCTCCTTTCCTGGCAGAGCATCTGGTGGATTCGAACCATGCGCCTCTAGGATTGTAGTTGCAGCTCCTTGCCACTAAGCCACCAGAGCTCCCCTTTGGTATGCCAATTTAATTTCAAAGCAGTCCCCTTGCTAATCCTAATTACTTGTACTTTTCTTATTTTGAAATGGTGGAACAAACATTGAATATCGGGGTATTGTTTTTGTTATATGCCATTGAGTCACCCACAACTCATAGTGACCCTGTGTACAATACTTCTGAAGCTTGCCCTTTCCTGAGCCAGTCTCACTGACTCTGACACACATTATCCCATTAACTCAGTTGCCATGGCAATCCATCTCATCTGGGGTCTTCCTCTCCTGTGCTGTCTGTCCACCCTTCAAACAATTATACCCTTAGAATGCAAGGTGGAACTTCAAAATCATTATCTTCTGTTGAAGGTAATGGAGTGAGATGATATCTCATAGCTGTTTTTATTTGCATCTCTCTGATATGGATTTTGAACATTTCTTCATTTGTGTGTTTGCCATCTGAATGTCTTTTTCAGATATAAACTATCTGTTTATATCATTTGCCTATTTTGCTATTTGGGTTGTTTACTTTTTTCTCATTGAGGTGCTGGTGTATTCTATACATTTATTACCAAATATTTTTTCCCAGTCTATGGCTTTTTTTTTCTTTTCTTACACTGTTGGAGAAGTTTTTTTATATGCATAGGGATTTGATTCTTAGAAGGTCCCGTTCATCTATTTTGTTCTCTCCTGGTTGTAGGTTTTTCATTATGCTTGGAAGACTGTTCATAACTGTGGATTAGGGCTTCTAGAGTTCTTCCAAGATTTTCTCTAAATGTTCATTAAAACCACAATGTGGGAAGACCCACATTAGCATGAATGATATAGTGGCTGTAACAATTGGCTTGACCAAAGTGCAGATTGTGACGGTGGAGCAGGATAGGATAAAGTTTTGACCTGTTTTCATAGAGTCACTGTGAATTGTATTAGGCTTCATGACACTTAACAGTAACAAGTATTCTCAAATTATGTCAACCATCGGACCACAAATACTCTGTAAGCATTCTGATCAGTGGTCAGCTCTGAAAAATTAAGATGACTGGGGAAAGGATTCTAGCCTATCAAGATATAATTAATACTGACTAAAATTATATTCAATGTTCTTCCTAACCATATTGGTCAACAACACACACATATTGATCCTATCCCTATATCCTTCCACCTCACAGTATATATTGGTAGATAACTAATAGAGGAAGACTTAGATATTAGGAGTCATAAGAATGATCTAAAAAAATCACAAGTAAAATAACATTTTATTAAAAAAAAACAACCCTTGCTTTCAAGCAGACACTTGGTTTCACCCTCTCCAAGACAGATGTATTTTTTCTCTCTGCAGTCAATAGTATGCTCAGTACTCTCTCCAGCACCACAATTCAAAGGCATCAATTCTTCTTCTGTCATCCTTAGTCATTGTCTAGCTCTCTGATGCATAGCATGTAATGGCAAATTGACGTATACAAAAGAAAAAAAGTAAATGTTTGTTATCTTATGCACCCTTACTTTTCAACTCAGTTCCCTTTACTTGTTTTGTTTCATTGAGTAGACTGCCACTCATAGCAACCCCAATGCACAGTAGCTCTGAACCCTGCCCTGTCCTGATCCAGACTCACTGACTCTGGCAACACTTACCCTCATTGCCCCAGTCACTGGGTCAGTCCATATTATCCCGGATTTTCCCCTTTCACTGTCTCTCCACCCTTCCAAGCATGATGTCCTTCTCCAAAGACTGCTCTCTCCTAGCCACATAGCCAGTGTAGGTTCAGACAGAGTGTCAAAACCCTTGCCTCCAAGGAGCAACCTGATTCCACTATTAAGAGTGAAAGTATCTTTTCTATGTTTTCTATGCATATGCAAAGCATATATTTCCCTTTCCTCCCCCTACAGTTAGATCATTATTAGATCTAGATAAACAAGTAGATGGATAGGTGAATAAATATTTCGATGATGGACAGATAGTTAAGCAGATAGCCAGATGAAGGGATTGATAGTTAGATAGGTAAACAATGTATATGGGTGAACAAATGAACAGGTAGACAAATGTTCTGTAGCTTGTCTTGTCTTTGAACAATATGAGATTGATGAGCTTCAGTACATGATAACACATTAAGATGGTTTCCTTCCTGACGATAATAACATAGTATGACTTGAATGAGCATTTGGCTGTTTTTTTGGTTTTTCCCCCCCCATTTTCTACTAGTTTATTTACATAATTTGAATACATTGTTTTCAAGAACGAATTCTTTAAATTTCCTTCACCACCCCACATCAAATTATACAGCCCGGTACAACCCGATATGACTTATATTTTATGCCATTTTAATTTTAAATTATGACATGCCATCAACTCTTAATTTTTCTTTATCTCATTCAGTTAATTATGAAAGCATTGCCAGAAATCTTTCTGTGAGTATTCTCATTTTGACCTTATCTAATTATTCTTAATATAATCTAGAGTGTATGTGTGTGTGTGTGTGTGTCTGTCTGTCTGTCTGTCTATACACAGCACAGTATAAGTTATTTTGTATCTGTTCTTAGGTTTGTAGGATTAGGAATTTTTGATATCTGGGACAATATCTAAATGGTTTAGTGTTGTTCTTTAAGACCTTTAAGGACATGACTGAAGAGACTGAAAGTAATTTATTCATTGGTATTATTAAACTTATATTACATGAAAGAAATAAGTAAGAAACAAAGAAGGGTAAAACCTTCTTTAGTTATACTGCTATAAACTCAGCTGACATTCTGATATAGTTTCTTCTAGTCTTTTCTATGCATATTTATAAAAGATTTTATATTACTGGTGATTTACTACTACATTTTTTTGTTGTTATGTTATAAATGAAATGATATTCTTGGAATTGTTCTTATGAGTGTTTGAAAATAAGATCATCAGTAATATGATCTTATAATATGATCTTGAATATAATCTAAGGTTCTTGTAGCTTTTAGGAAGTTACAAGTCTGACTTCCTGTCAAAATTTTAGCCAGCTATAAAAAAATTCAGCTTGTACATTTTGTAAATAGTATGAATTGTTAGTTATTATTCTATTTGTGACTTACTGGATATGCTGGTAAAATGTTTGTTAGATGTTGATGTTTTAGAATATATGGACATTCTGTAAAAAATATTTTTTTTAGAAATTTGTCTTTGTGTTTCACAATTTCAGTGCCGAGAACCAAACCAGCACTTCAAACCTTACTTAAAACAGTTCTTACCCAAGCGTTTGCACTTTGCCAACAGTGACAGGATTGAGCCATTGACATTCTATTTGGATCCCCAGTGGCAGCTTGCACTGTAAGTTCTCACTGTCTTCCATGTCACTGTAGCCTGATCTAATAGTAATTAGTGGTAACAGTTTGACCTTCCCTAGCAACCCGCACAAATACAGTTCTCTTTCCTCTAGACTAAGCCAATCTGTAGTTTAGGTCATATAATTTTTGTCAGAGGATCTCTTGTACGTTGTAGGATACTTGAGAGAATTCCTAGCCTCTACCTTCAAGATGAAGGTAGCATCTTTCTCTCATTTGTCAACGAGAAATGGCTTGAGAGAGTCCCACATGTCTCCTGAGCTGCAGGGAAGGAAGGTGCTCTGTGAAAACCTCTCCACTGTCTTGTTGCATCAGTATTTATTTTATTCCCTTGTGTTTCATATATCCTATTAATATCTGTCACTGTTTCTCTTTTGCCCATTACATTTACACCTAATAATGTTTTAAAAATAATATTTAAAGCTTTTAAATATGTTATAATAATGAGCAGTTATTAACTTCATTATGTACATTGTTCATTTTCCTAATAATAATCTAGCAATAAACTTCACTTTATAGATGAATTCAGTAAATTATTTGAATGGCTAATATTGCTTCCTTCAAACTCAGCCATAAAATATTTTTGATAGTTGTCCCAAAGGAAATTGTGATAAATGAGTCTGTGAAGCAAAAAAAAAAAAAAAAAAATTGTGAACCAGAATTTAGTCCACAGGACTACACTGTCTCTACTCTTGTTGAAGAATTGTGCATTTAGAATGAGTGTTTTGAAAATACAGTTCATTCTTCAAGCACTTCTGTAGGTTACATCACATAATTGTAAACAAACCAACATGGCAAAATTGAAGCCAAGTGTAGATCATTACATGTTCTAATTATTAATTTGATTAATCACAGCTAGTAGATAGCACAATGAAAGTTCAAAATGAGTTCTGCCCCAATGCTGATGGTTTTCGCTCTGCATACCACATAAATAAAATATAGAGGTGACCCTTCAATGCTCTTCAAAAACCAGAAGATTTTATTTACTATTTTTATAGAAGAGGATAGTTAAAACAATAGTCATTTCTGCTTTGCTTGTGGTTATCAGATTGTAGTGTTCAATTATGATTTCTGTATGAATTTTATTAATTGATATATGTCAAAATTAGGAATCCCGTAGAGAGGAAATACTGTGGAAGTGGATTTCATGGCTCTGATAACTTATTTTCAAATATGCAGGTGAGTATGTTTTAGAAAAAGATATGCTATATCTGGAAAAAATTATATTAATAGTCTGCCCTTAAAGATACACACTATTATTATATGCCTTGAATGAAAACTAAAGAAGCATATGGCTTTATAGGGTTAAGTTGGTTGTTGGTTGTTGTTTTGTTTGTTTTTTTTACATTAAGATAATAGAATTTTTGAAGGCATGTGTGATAAACCAACTTCAGTTCTTATACTTACAGTAAAAGAATGAGAGCTTTCCCCTTGAAATTAGTAACAAAACAAGGGCATCCACTCTTTTTTTTTCTCTCTATAGAATAAGAACAGGTCATTCCTTTATTGAAATGCATAAAATACATCACATTTTCTGTTCTGCTAATGCTGTAAATTCAATACCAATTCTCCAGCCATGTCAATGATGAGCATAAAGTCTATCATGTAACCTCACATCTCTGACAGTGGAAGGTTTAAACAAGAATGGATGCTGTTAGAGTAAGGGCATCCACTCTTAAAACTTCTATATTGTAAATTCTTACCTAACTTGGGAGTGACTGGAGAGCATTATGCTGAGTGAACTAACTCAGTCCCACAAGGATAAACATTGTACAAAACCATTATTGTAGAATGAGTATAAGGATCCAAGAGGAATGGGAGAGGTTGGAAGTAGAGGGATGAGGATGGGCAGGGAGTTGTTAATCACTGGGTTGTACAGTTTGATGGGGGTGAGGTGTGAGGGAAGTTGAAAGAATTTGTTCTTGAAAACAATGTATTCGAATTTTGTAAGCTGGTAGAAAAAGAAAAAAATTAAAAACAACAACAACAAAACCCCCCCTCTAGTCAGTGTTGTTTTAGAAATCCTAGCCAGAATAGTAAGGCAAGAAAAAGAAACAAAATGTAAATAGATTGAAAAATAGTAAGATCCTATATATATGAAGTTTAAGTGAGTCCACAAGAAAACTTCTAGAGCACATAAAAAAAAAAGGTGGCAAAGTTGCAAGGTACAAGGCCGACAAACCAAAACCTGTTGCAGTGAGATATCTGAAGGGAAAATTAGGGAGACAATCCATTTACAATAGTTATTGTTGTTGTTGATTGTCTTCAAGTTGAGCATGACTCATAGTGATCCTATGAACTAAAGGTCTGAAGCCCCTCTACAACTATTGGCATTGATCAAAGTTCATAGAGTTTCCAGAGGATGAGAGAATAAAATGACAACTATGAAGTACTGCAGAGAGAGATGAAAGAAGACTTAAATGCAAAGGTCTTCCATGTGTGTTGTTGGGTTGATTTTGGGTTCACTAAACATATGACTTGTGAGAGGACTCAAAACCAGACCACAGATGTTGACTTGATTAAACTCACAGTCTAGTGGTAAGGAGCTGGCCTACCAAGCCAAAGACACATAGCTTAAGTCTAATAGCTGCTCTGTAAAAGAAACATGAACAGTCTCCTCTTCTGTGGTTTACTGCCTCTGAAGACCCCCTGGAGAATCATTTCAGACTTGATGGCACAGAGAGACAGCGACAGACAGAGGGAGAGAGAGGAGAAAAAGGAGATTGAACAGCACATTCTCTAGTGGCCTAGTGGCAAGAAACTGCTCTACAATCCCAAAGACATGAAGTTTGAGGCCACCAGCTGCTCTGGGAAAAGGATGAGCAGTTTCCTCCCATGCTATTAACTGCCTTTGAAAACCCACCAGAGGTTCAGCTATGGGTCAGTTCCAACTCGATAGTACACAACAACTCTGTGTGTGTGTGTGTGTGTGTAAGTATTTATATGTGTGTGTGTATATATATAATATACACATATACAATATAGATATTATAATTTATGTAACAAAAATTTCCTGATAAACTGTTCTTTTCTGGTTTAATCTAGGCTCTTTTTATTGGCTATGGACCTGCATTTAAGCACGGAATTGAAGCTGATCCTTTTGAAAACATTGAAGTCTATAACTTAATGTGTGGTAAGTGTAAACAGTAGTGGGATAGGATAACCATATACAGGCCCCCTATGGAGATAGTGATGAGGCTGGATCCCCTTCTTCCCACCTGTGTTCTTCCTGACCTGGACATACTGAAAGAAAGTGTCATGTGGTTACCCTCTGTTTCTTATACTGAGCTGCCAACTACTATAGTGCAATATGTATGTGGTGTTTGACAACTCAAATGCCTCCTAGTGTATAACACAGAACCAGAAACTAGGCTTATGTAAGATAATTGAGTCTGAGAGTGGAAGAAGTCACAGAAAGAGGCATGGGGTCAGTGAAAGATGGGGAAAAAACAGGTAAAACAGCTGATTGCCAAAGTAGGGTGAATGGATAGCAGTGTGAAGGTTGTAGAAACAAGAGACCCCTTACATATTCCTAGTTACTTTGTACCTTTTAAATAAATACTGATGGTGGATATTGAGGTTTTAATATTGCTCCCTCCCACTCCGATGCTGATAGACCTACTCCCCACTTCCTGGTTCTTCTCTTTATTGGGCATTTCACATTTATTACAATAGTAAAAGGTCCACTGTCTATATTATTTTGCACATTATCTGTGCTATGATGTATGATTAAATGTAGCAGACACCAAGAAGCATGGTGAGATAACACTGCCGTGATGGTGAAGGGTCTGTGCCCTCCTAGCCGGACCATGATTCTCTTGGTTTGACAGTTATGCAATGATCTAATCTAGCAGTTTTTAACAATATAGTCATTCTCTGTTTTGTGAGCTCATGTGGTCATACTCCATTTCTACCTAATGGCAATTTTCATTTAATGCCCTGGTCTTTGGAACCTAAAACTGTCAGTAACTGAAGAGTCAATGTACTAATGAATTTAGAAAATGGATTATCTTCTCAATATAATTCTTTCTTGGAAGGCCGTATTCGTATGCCTTAAGTGAAGTCAAGGATGCTGAAGCTTCATCTCACATATGGTGGTTATGTTGTTAGGAGGGACTAGTTCTTGAAAATGGGCATAATGCATGGAAAGATAGAAGGTCAGTTAAGGAAGAAAGACCCTCCATGAGATGGGTGGACTGCAGCTGTGGTCTCAAGCATGTCAGAGATGATTAGGACAATGCTGGATATGACAAAGTTCAGATCTGTTGTTCATAGGGTCACTGTGAGTTGCACTGGCTTTAATGGCACCTAACAATGACTTAAATGACTTAAAACGTGCACTTAAATGTCTGGCACATAGTAAGGGCTTTGTTTCATTATTGAGAATATGGATTCTAGACACAGACGAGGGAGCTCTGGCAGCTTAGTGGTAAGAATTTGCACTGCAATCCTAAAGGCCCATAGTTTGAATCCAGCAACTGCTCCACAGGAGAGGGATGGGCATGATGTCTGCTGCTGAAAACCTGCTGGAGGGTCGGCTAGAGTCAGCACACAGTTCAATGTCACGAAACACCAGCAGACGCAGGCACAGCTAGTTTCGAATTCCAGATCCACCATGTTAGTATCTTAATGATTTTGATCAAGGTGTTGTAATTCATGAGAAGACTTTATTATTATATTTATATGTATTTTATTACATTATTTTTATACATTTTCATTTATACTGATACTGGTTTTGTTTACAAAGTTTATATACCTTGTTTTTTCATACCAGATCTTTACCATTTCCTTTACCCACCCCTCCCTCTTCCCATCAAATTGTGAGACCCTATGATTACACACCCCTCGTCCCATCCCCACCAATCCTCACCCCTCTGCTCCTGCCCTCCCCCTCTTAAATCCTCATATTCGTTTTACTAGTTATCTTTCCCCCTACAGTAATGATTTTATACAGTGTTCATTATTATGAGACTGAGTTCACTTAGCATAATGCAATCTACAAGTTTTGTAGGGATTTTCTAAATCATGGCTCCTGCATGCTGTCTAGTATTCCATTGTGTGAATGTATCACAATTTCTTAGTCCATTTCATTTTGGTTGAACATTTGGGCAGTTACCATGTTCTTGGGATGGTGAATAACACTGCTATCAACATAAATGTCCAAATCTCTGTTTGTGCATCAGTTCTCCTTTTCACAGGTTATATTCTAAGCAGTGGAATAACTGGGTCATATGGAATTTCTATGTTCAGCTTTTTTGAGAGAGTGCCAAACTGACTTCCAGAATAGCTGTACCATTTTACTATCCCACCAACAATGTATATGAATTCTTGTCTCTCTCCACATCCTCTCCAGCATTTATTACTTGCTGCCCTGTTGAGAATTAAGTAAGAAACTGAATACTAGCACATATTATACCCATTCAGCTCAGCAAATGACAGCTGTAACTATCATGCAGTGATATGCATTGTTTAATGCCCTTGATACCTTCTATAAAATGTGATGTTATATGATTTGGATTTTGTGTAAATACCATTTGAAAGCCTTATGTGAGCCATCTTCTGGTCAACCTCATCACCTCTAATGCCATTATTAATAGCGCTGCTGTGGAGGCTGGAGGAACTTGCAGGTGTAGCAGTGCAGGGGAGCAGAGCACAAACACAGTATGAAACAATTATTGTAGAATGAGTATGAAAATTGGGGCAGGAGGGCAGGTGAAAGCATAGGGGTGAGGATGAGTAAGGTGGGGAGTTAATCACAGGGTCGCCCAGTTTGATGGGTGGAGGTGGTAAAGGAAATGAGAAAGGCAGGGCATGAAAAAGAATGTATTCAAACTTTGTAAATAAACCAGTATAAAGTAAAAAAAAAAAAAGAAAAGAAAAGAAAGTGAGTGATGAGGTGAGAGGTGTGCTCTTCCATTCGCTGTAACATCAGGAACACGCATGCCTGGAGGTCTCGCACCCGTGGCCCAGTGCTTCACAAGCCTGAGTTTAGGGATCTGTAAAACCATTTAAAAAATAGAGAGGAAAATACTCTCCTCCCCTTGAGTCAGTTCTGACTCTTGCCAGCTTTCTGATGGGTTTCTGAAGCTCTGAATCTTTAAGGAAGTAGACTGCTCCTCTTTCTCCCATAGAGCAACTGGGGTATTTGAACTGCCAACCTTTCAGTTATCAGCACAACATGTAACATACTGTGCCCTGAGAGTTCCTTTTAAAACCTATGTTGTTGTTGTCTGCCATCAAATTAGAACCGACCTTCCAGTGGGTTTTCAGAGGCAGTAAATCACATGGGAGGAGCTGGCCTATTTTTTCTTCCACAGAACAACTGCTGGATTCTAACCATGAGCCTTCTGGATTGCAGTGCAGATTCTTACCCCTAGGCCATCTGAGCTTCCTACCCGTTAGGGTAAAATAATCAAGAATAGGGTGCTACAGATGAGGGAGAGAACAGTTTAAAAGTGATATGTGATAGGGTATTATGGCTCTCATAAGAGTTCAGAATGAAGGTTGCATAGTGGAGTGTACTCGGTGCAGTGGAGGGGGGTGGAACAAGGGATTGTATACCAATGAAAGAATTTTTCTTTTACTTTTCAAAGAGGGGAGTGAACTGTGGAGGGGGGAAGTGTAACAGTGAATGAATGTAAATCCAAAATCTCTGTAAATGTTCATTAAAATTAATAAAATAAAATTTTAAAAAACAAAAATAAATAAAAGGTATAAAAAAATTCAGAACTTTCAATAGAGATATGCAGATTAACATTTCCTTTAAGAAAAACATAATCAATACCCTAAAATTTAGGAAAGTTGCATAGTTTTATTTGCTTAGAAAGGAAGAGGACTTGTATATTTTGCTTTGAAAAAGAAAAATAAGATAAAAAAAAATCTATGTATTTGATTTTTGAAATTTCCAAGTAACTCTTTACTATTCTTGGAATGATTAGATTTGCTGAATTTGCAACCAGCATCAAATAATGGAACACACGGCAGTCTCAATCACCTCCTAAAGAATCCTGTTTACATCCCAAAGCATCCCAAAGAAGTCAGCCCCTTGACCCAGTGCCCACTCTCGAGAGCCAGCAGAGATACCCTGGGCTGCTCTTGCAACCCCTCAGTAAGTACTGTCAAAGAATTTAACCCATCTGGATGGCTCTGTAATACCCTCTACATGCCTTGTGCTGTACAAGTACTTAATGGGTGTGTGTGTGTGTGTGTGTGTGTGTGTGTCTGTGTGTGTGTTTGGAAGGCACATATACTTATAATTCTGGCAATATAAGATCTTTCATTATTTCTTTTTTCTCTTCTTGACTTTTGCATTTTCATCTCTGTTTTTATACCCTGCTGCTGTGAATTCAGCACAAGTTGGACAAAGTCTCAGTCCTTGAGAATTATGGATAAGACAATTCGTGCCATTATCTTTATTGTGAGTCTTGGGCATGTACTAATCCAAACACTGAATTCTTGCTCAAATGCACATCCAGCCTATATTTGTTTAGGAGAAAAATAGCATATTTTGGTAGGAAATAGATTTGTGGACCTTCCTTTTTTATATCTTTCATAATACATCATTATTTCAAGAAGATAAAAAGGCTTCATGAACTACAAACAAAATTGATAGCATTTACAAAGATGGAAATGAAATTTGAATAATAGTTTATTTTATGCTTTGTTTTATACTCAGACTTAAAAAGATGACAAGATAGAAGATAAAGTTTATAAAGTATATAAGCAATTATATTCCATTTTTTAATTGTTAGTGTTTATGATAGTAATTTTATCTTTTTTTGTACTGGTTGTCCTGTCCTTTTATTGTCAACATTGAAAACCTGACTTTCACTAATGTAAGACTTTTAAATTTTACCTGTGATGTCTTAGATGAGTTAAACTGTACAAGTTTACGTTGTAAAATGAAAATGTGTCCCACAAAGCATGTCTATCAATCTCTGAAATTAGTTCTTCTCACTTTTTTAGATTTTACCAGTTGTGGATTTTCAGACACAGTTGAACCTGACTGTAGCAGAAGGTAAGACATGTTTCCTCTCAAGGTTGGGGTGTGGAAATAGGGTTTTTGTCAATGCTATGAGGTGTAGAGATTTGATCTCTAGGCATTATTTGAAAATGGCCAGTAAAATGAACAGAGTCATTGAGGAAGCATAGAGATTTCTTTGTTAGAGAGTCTAGAGGGTCATAGAGCTAAAAAGATATTGACAGTAGAAATAGTATGTGATAGAAATGATGTTGTTCAGATGTCATTGAGTTGATACTAACTCATGGCGACCTGTGGATATCGGATCTGAACTGTGCCATTCTCATAATCTCAGTTACATTTGAGTCCTTTCTTATAGTCATTGTGTTAATCCATCTTGTTGAAGATCTTTCTTTCTTCTTCTCTGACATGAGTCTTTTTTCAAGGCCTTCCCCTTTCTGACAACATGCCATACGTCAACATGTGAAATATATGTGTTGTTATGTTTTATCAAGTTGCAACTGACTCAGAGCTGACCCTCCAGAGAGTTTTCAGGGCAGTATAATTTCCCTGGAGGAGATTGCATGTCTTTTTCCCATGGAGCAGTTATAAGATTTGAGCTGCTGCTTTGGCTTGGCAGTACAGTGCCTTTCCATTAGATCACCAGAGTTCCCTGAGATAAACATATTGTTGTTGTTGTTGTGGTGGTGGTGGTGGTGGTGTACCATTGAGATGGAACCAACCCATAGCTGACCCTCAGGCAGGTTTTCAAAGGTAATTAATTGCACATGAGGAGATTACCCATCTTTCTTCCTCGGAGCAGCGGATGTACTTGAACTGCACACCTTTGGGATTGTAGCACAGTGTCTTAACTGCTAGGCCACCAGACATCCCTCATGAGAAAATAAATAGTGGGAACCAAACTGCTCTTTGTGAACATGATGTTGATTTTTTTTAAAAAAACATTGAGGTTTTTTAGGATTTTAAATTGAGAACCACATGAAAATACTTGTTAAGTTCTTCTCTTACGTGATTCTTTTTGTTATAAGAGATTATAAATGGAATTGATTTTTACCTAGAGGATTTTATATATAACATACAGAGACTGTGTAGACTGTGCTGTACTGAAGTAACTTGGGGTTGCTGTGATGCTGAACACTGTGCCATAGTAGTATCAGATACCATAATGGTTATTCATCATGGACAGTGTAGGAGCTTCCAGATTGATTCAGGCTTGGAAGCAGGAATGGCATCTACTTCCTAAGCCACTTGCCTTATTAGTTATAGAGGGTTCAAATCGGTTTGTTCCTAGGGTCGCTATGCAAGTAAGAGTGGCATCCACTTCCTTAACAATGTTCCTCTGGAAACTCTATGAACTTTGATAAATGTCGATAGCTGTAGAAAGGCTTCAGACCTTTTGTTCATAGCGTCACTATGAGTTGTGCTCAACTCAAAGGCAATCAACATAGATATAGATAGATATAGATATGGATATGAATAGAGATAGATATAGATATATAGATACAGATACATATAGATATAAAGAGATAGATAGGGAGATAGATAGATAGATAGATAGATAGATAGATAGATAGATAGATAGATAGATAGGAGATCTGAATGAGAATTTTAGATACCAAATTGCTTTTCCATGTAAGTGTTAATACTTACAACTTTTGAATAAAACTTAAGACTACACAGATAACTGATGAAAATTTTCAAAAAGTAAAACCTAATTCTGATTTTAATTTCGCTATGTTATTGTTGTTGTTTTTATGTGCCTTTGAGTCGCTTGTGACTCATAGCGACCCTGTGTACAACAGCCCTAAACTCTGCTCTGTCCTGTGCCAATCGCACCGTCTCGGACACACCCATCCAAATTACCCCAGGCACTGAATCAATCCACCTCATAGGGGGCCTTCCTCTCCTTCGCTGTCCCTCCACCCTACCAAACATGATGTCCCTCTCCAAGGACCGGTCCTTCCTTACAACATGTCCAAAGTATGTTAGACGGAGCCACAGAATCCTTGCCTCCAAGGAGCAGCCTGGTTTAACCCTTTCCAGGATGAATCTGTTTGTTTTCCTAGCAGTCCATGGTACCCTCAATACTCTTCTCCAGGACCACAGCTCAAAGGCATCAATTCTCCTTCTATCCTCCTTAGTCATTGTCCCGCTCTCTGATGCATAACAAGTGATCGCAAAGACCATGACCTGTATCAGACACACCTTAGTCTCCAGAGAGACAGTATTGCTCTTCAGTACTTTGGAGAGGCCCCTAACAGCAAACTTTCCCATGGCAATACTTCTTTTAATTTCCTGGCTACTGGTGCCAAGAGTGTTGACTGTGGAGCCAAGCAAACTAAAGCTGTGAACAATCTCAATCTCTTCACCATCCATCCTGATGCTGCCAGTTGGCCCAGTGGTGAGAATCTTTGTCTTCTTGACATTGAGCCTCAATCCATATTGGAGGCTGCAGTCCTTGACCCTCTGCAGCAAATGCTTCAGGTCCTCCTCACTTTCAGCAAGCAGGGTTGTGTCATCTGCATAACACAGATTACTGATAGATCTTTCACCAATCTTGACCCCACATTTCTCCTCATAGAGCCCAGCCTCCTGGATAATCTGTTCTGCATACAAGTTGAAAAGGTATGGAGACAGGAAACATCCATGGTGTACGCCCTTCCTAATTTTGAACCATGCAGTGTTTCCTTGCTCTGTTCTGACGACTGCCTCTTGGTTCAAATATAGGATTCTCATTAGCACGATCAAGTGTTCTGATTTTTCCCATTCTTTTCAGAGTCAGCCACAGTTTGTTATGATCCACACAGTCAAACACCTTTGCATTTAGCTATGTTAAACTAAATTCTTGGCTGTCAGTCTTTGCTTGAAATAAATCTTTGATGAACTCAAAAAAGAAATAATTTATTGGACTTGGTACAAAATAAGGGAGAGTACCTTTGGAATTGTATAGATTTGGATTTGAGTGTGAATTTAGGAAATATGTGCCTATGAAAAAAAATTATTTCATCCCCATGAGCTGTTACTTCCTCATCTATATATAAGCATATAGCTTTAATCATAGGTTGATATGAGAATAAAATTAAATAATATATGTTAAATGCTTTACAAAGCATATTAGACTGCCAAAAGAACAAGCAAGTCTGTCTTGTAGAAGTACAACCAGAGTGTGCTTTAGAGGAAAGGATGGTGAAACTTTGTCTTTCTTACTTTGGGCATATTCTCGTGAAGAACAAATTCTTGGAAAGAGACATCATACTTGGAAAGGTGGAGGGTCAGAGACTCTCAAGATGGATTGACACAGTAATTGGTAAAACAGGCTTGAGCATGACCAAGATCATGAGGACAGGACAGGATAGGGAAAGTTCGGATCTGTTGGCTCATATATTCACTATGAATCCTAGTGAACTCAATGGCACCTAACAGCAACAACACAAAGAATCTGGCCCTCAAAAGAGGGCAGTAAAGAGATTCAGTATTTTATACCAACAATATATCACAGTTGTCATACCATGAATATGCGGCAGGGCCAGGCAACATTTCATTCTGTAATAAAAAGGTAAAGTCACCATAAATTGGAGCCAACTCTAAGGCAACTGTAAAGAAGAGCAAGGGCCACATGGAGACAACCATATCCAACCTTTAACAGTTATATTAAGGAGAACTGTCCCCATCAACAGCATCAGCAACACAAGATCAATTCCCATGAGGTCAAACATGACCCCTATACTCCCACACCTCTTTCTACTCATTTCAACACCAGTTTTACTGTTTTGCTGGACCTAAAATATGATGTGTCAGATCATAGACTACACAGAACCATACTGGGGATGGCAAAAGGCTATAATTCATGCTATTAGTAGAATACAGTCAGGAAAGCCTCCTAAATTTACTCACAGATACCTCAGCTTTGAGCTTCACGGCTTTAGGGTAGTGTTACAGAGTTCTTAGATCTGTGAATTATGGCCCACACAGTTGTCCAACAAACTTGGGCAAAAGGCTCTTAGCTCTGGTTTAATGGTATAACAGTCCTAAGGTCCACTCTGTGTCATGTCAGATCTCTCATCCTCAGCTTTGGCCTCTGCTGCTGCTACTATAAGTTTAGTTGACACAAGAGTCTCTGGCCCCATAGGGCACACGCTGCAGGCTTCCTTCTTCTTTGCTGTTGATAAAACTTTCTAATCTGCCTCTATGTCTGGTCAGTGGCGTGACTAGCCAAGCTCCTTGTGGATAAGCTAGCACATCCTGTTCACATATTTCTGCCCATTCACGTGGCAAAGTCAAATCCAGTGGCTAGTAAAGTCATTTTGAATAATCAACCTTTAAAAGCACAGCAACTAACAGCTAGAGCTTCTTCACTTGAATTCTCATAGTTGCAGTTCTGAACTTTTGTTTGCTAAGTACACGTATCATGCTGAAAATTTACATTTTGGATGCTGTCCTAAAGAACAAATAGTTGAAATAATATGAAAGCATTCTTGTTGGTGTAATTTAAATTCTCATAACTGTCATGTATAGCAATTTCATGTAATATCCTCTTGTGAGATCTTGATTTTACATTGCTTTTTCAGGATCTTCTGGTAAAAAATTGTAGTAAATCTCTTTTGGTTTGTTATTTATTTGTAGTGTTAGTTCTTGTCATATGGTTTTCTTTATAGTTAAGAATCGTTTTAAAAATTGTTTTTAGTAGGTTAAATGAATATTATCATTGTATATCATTATGTAAATCATATTAAATGCCTATAAATGGTGCTTTCCTTTTCTCCCTACAAAGAGAAGATTATTAAGCGTGGTGCTTTACCCTATGGAAGACCCAGGAATCTCCAGAAGAACAGCACTGTCTGTCTTCTTTATCAGCACCAGTTTGTGAGTGGGTACAGCCATGACTTCCTCATGCCCCTTTGGACGTCCTACACTGTTGGCAGAAATGCAAGTATTTGTCAACTCTTATGTATAGCTATTTAAGATTATAATCATTAAGTAAAACATTCAAAACATAGTTTCTCACGTTTCATCTTAACTCTGTCATCAGTTCCTAAACTGTAGAATTCCAAGACTGGGAATCAGAACAGTAAGATTCCAGAGATAACTTTACCTCCAAGTAAATATTTTAACTTTGAGTACTATATTTTAAATCTCATCTTTTGTGAAATGAAAGGTGTGAAAATAAGAATCCTCTCCTTTTCCTGTTTTAATATTTTACTATTTTGACTCATAATTTTATGAAGTCAGTTATAGTCACTCACCTCTAAATATACAGCTGCTCAGACACAAGATTTATCTGGTTATGGAATCTCCCTTATCTAGTAAATATATTGAGATATTGTGTGTGAGAGTGTGTAAAACCAAGCTGATACTTTTATTTGTTGTTGTTGTTAAGTGCTGTCAAGTCATAGACGACTCATAGCGACCCTATGAACAAAGACCTGAACACTTGTATAACTGGTCGTTCATGTTCAGAGTTTCTGGACGCAAGCCATTTCGGAAGTGGATGCCACTCCTGCTTCCAAGCTTGTTTTATTCAGGAAGCTCCACCAAACACTGTCCACCATGAGTAACCATTATCCCATTTGGCACATTAGTGGCATAGTGTTTAGCACCACAGCAACCACAAGTTACCTCTGTCCAGCAGAATCCGCATTCTACCTTAATACTCACCAATCCCAGCCAACAAGCTTCTTTTATTTACTGTCCCCAAATTGGAAGACCACAAATTAATACTAAGTGGCCACCAAGTTTCAGATTTCTAAAGAGAAGGACAAACTTTTTACAGTAATCTTTCCCCCAGTGCCAACTGGGAGTCTACACAACTGTTCCTACATTGACCAACCAATGTTCCTGTTGTTACTGAGGTTGCCAGGTATAATGCAGACATTACATGGGAGATAGTTTGGTTAAAAATTATTCATTGTTTATGTCAAATTCAGATATAACTGGATGATAATTATTGTTATTACACTTGGCAAGCCCAGACTCTATGTCTTAGTTTCTTACGAGAACGTCCCAGTGATCAGTAAAAAGGGAAAGGTTTTCTGTCTCTTCACCAAGCCTAGTGAATGGGGGAGGCTCTCAGAACTTCTCTTTGAAACAGAGGGAAGCATAGTGGGGGCAGATGCTGCTAATCTGGAACCTGCAGGTTAACTAGTGCTGTCAACTGCACTGGAGCTTGATCAGGGGTTTTGGAGAGAGCTTGATGGTATTAACTGGAGTTTGTTGTTATATGTAAACAGAAACACTAAGATCTACCTCATGTTGAGATGTTCTGCCTCATATTGAGATGTTTCTGAAGGTAGAATACTTGCTGGACCCACCAGTACAAACTTGTCATTGAGTTGATTCTAACTCATTGCAATCCTTCCATCAGAGTATGGGATTTTAAATCTTTATGGGAGGAGACTGTCCACTTTTCTACTGTGTAGCAACTGGGGAATTCGAACTGCCTCTAGGTAGAGCAGGAAGTGGATGAGAAGCGTCCTGCTGTAAGGCCGCAGAAATAAGTGCAGAAGAAGGACCTCTGTGCAGAGTTCCTATTGTGAAGCTTACCATTAGAAAAAGGGACATACTCCTTGTGCTACAAGAAATTTGGAGTAGATTGAAGCAGAGTTCTGTGAGTCTGAGTCTTCTGAGCACAGATTTATTTTCTTAATAGTCCCAAGTGTAAAGCATTTACTTCTCCTGAACCAGAATGTTTCTAGACCTGTGTGTACATAATCCATTTATAAATAAGCTGTTGTTGTGCACTGTTGAGTCAGAACCAGCTCATGGCTGACCCTCAAGTGGCTTTTCAGGAGGCAGTAAACTGCATAGGAGATTGTCTGTCTGTCTTCTGTGGAGCATCTGGTAGATTCAAACTGTGTGCCTTATAAGTGAGTAGGGTCCTACTAATGCACTGATGTCATAGGGAGCTGAGTAGCTGCCTTTATTCCCAAACTAAAAAAAGCATAAAGAAACTGGTGAGTAGAGAAATTTCTTCCACGTATCCCAGTTAACCAAATCTCAAGGTCTTCCCTTAAGAAATAAGCCATTAAAGTTCAATGCCACATAAACTCAATGTGAGGAAAATCCCAGAACAAACAGGTGTAGGCTGGGAATCCTAACCATCCTCCTAACTCGAAGAGTTAGGCCTTCAAGAGAATAGGGTTCAGAGATCCCTTAATATGATGAGCATTAGAATTAAAAACTCAAACTCAGTACCATCAAGTAGGTTCTAACTCATAGTGACCCTCCATTGAGTTTCTGAGGTTTAAAATCTTAAGGAGAAGAGATTGCCCATCTTTCTCCCTCTGCGTAGCTGGTGGATTCAAAATGCTGGAGACATAACCCTTTGTTTAGCAGTGCAACACCTTAGGGAATACAGTACAGCATCAGAGCTCTCTTGAAAGAGTGAAGCAAAGAGGATTAAATTCAGATTTTACATGAATTGAAGGTTTAACTAGAAGGTTTGACTAGACTTTCAGAAACTGGAAGTAACTAACTGGCAAGCTCTAGTATGAGATGGGAGATTTGAAAAAGTGGACCTGAAGGTTAACAATTGGATTTTAATAACTAAAATTCCTACCAATAACTAATAAATAGAACAGACCTGTGTGTTCATATATCAATGTGTTATCTCTGCTAAGAATATATGTGGTGTGCATGTAAACTTTTTCACTTGGCTTTGTAATACAGTGCAGCTTTCCCAATATTAGTTATTGTTATTTAATATCTTAATTATGAAGTTCCTTGATTTTATTTGTATTTTAACTTTTCATATACAATCAAAGTTGTGAAAATTCAGTCATCGTTATGTTGTTGTTGTTTTATACTGTCAAGTAGGAACTAATCCATAGGTAACCCTCCAGTGGGTTTTCAGAGACAGTAAATCACACACAGGAGCAGATTATCCCAGCCTTCTCCCATGGAGCAGCTGGTGGATTCGAAGTACATGCCTTTGGGATTGCAGTGCAGTTTCTTACCACTAGGCCACCAGAGCTCCCTGGTAATATTATTATACTCCTGGTATTTTTACATTGCTTTTTAGTGGTTCTTTCCCTCTTACTTTTGATTTTGTGACTGACTATGCAGAAGAACACATATCTTTTTGGAAATCATATGCTTTACTGCATAAACTTTATAAATTATATAAAATTTGTACAAAAATATATGATCAACAAGATTAATATAGCAAAATAGGGAATATATTTACAGATATATAACAAAAGATTGATTTCCTTAATATTGTGAAGCATTTTACATTTAAATAAGAAAAATATATATAGGTGAATAGAGCATAGCAAGAATAAACCATGTGAACATCCTAATTTTATAATATGATCATCTTTTATTGTTGCTGTGGTTAAATGCCGTCGAGTCGCAGGCGACTCATAGCGACCCTGTGAATGAAAGACCTGGACACCTGTGTAACTTTTGTCCTTTCTCCAAGCTCATAGGGTTTCCAGAGGCAAGCTATTTTGGAAGTGGATGCTACTCCTTCTTCCAAGCTTGTTTTAATCAGGGAGCACCACCCAACTCTGTCTGCTATGGGTAACCATTCTCCCATTTGACTCATCAATGTCACAGTGTTCAATTTCACAGCAACCACGGGTTACCTCTGTACAGCAAGTGGACATATCAGGGTGACACGACCTAAAAGAATGTTTCACCAAAAACAATTCAGGGGAGGCCTGAGGGCCATGGAATAGACTCACCCACCTTTGGCTTGGGAGCATGGCTTTCTGTCTACTAGGCCAATTGCTCTCTTTCTATGCATCTTTTATTACTCATAAAATAACCATTTCATCTGTATTGGATACCTAATTGGTTTCTTTATTTCATTTTGTTCTACAGGACAGTTTCTCCACAGAAAACTTTTCCAACTGTTTTTACCAGGATCTTCGAATTTCTCCTAGTCCTGTCCATAAATGCTCATTTTATAAAAATAATGTGAAACTGAGTTATGGCTTCCTGTCCCCACCACGTAAGTCATCTTCATCCTCCCCTGCCCCTTCTCTGCCCACTCCCTTCGCCTCTTCTCTTCTGCCGTCTTTACAAGCCCAGCATACACTATCAGTCATTGTACTAGCCCTGCTGTTTTTAATTGGTCATAATTGTGAAATAGAATTATTTGAAAACCATGTAAAGCATCGAAAATGCAAAGTTCATAAAACTTTTACCCCCTAAAAGTTAGTTCATTTAGTGCATATAGAGTCTGTCAAGCACTGTACTTTTCTTGTCCTCATTCCGTTTAGATGGAATTGGAGAAACAGTGAAACTGGAAGTGCACATCAGGTTCATGGGAAGGGGCTATAGCTCTGCTGTTACAAAGAAAATGTAAATTGCCAAAGAATTAAGTAAAGGTAAAGGTTAAGCATGCATGCTTCCTCACTGATACATGGCTTCAAGGGACTTGTTTTTAGGAAACTAAGTATTTGATTATTTTCTTTATATATAATTATCAAGATTGTATATCAATGAGAAGACATTTTGAGGCCAGACGTAAAAAGACAAATCTCAAACGTCGAGGTATTCAAATACCCTTAGAATCCAGGCCAGTCCCTGGAGTTAAGTGTCTGAGGTCAGAATTTGGCTGTTGCATTATAAAAATAGACCAAGTCCACGCTTAAAATTCATACAAAGAATCCTTGTACCGCAGTTTGAGCCAGACATCCTGTGGTGTTTTTTTCTGGGTAGTAGGTGTGGTTCTAAAGCCAAATATTCTCTTTTTCACTCTTTACTATGAAAGAGTTTAAGGGAAGAAGACTGCCAACACAATGCATTTTTTACAAAGTACACTATGTAAAGTAATATACTTCATTTGGGGCTCTTATTCCCTAAGTTTCTGTTTCTTTGAGGAATCCATCCTGAAGAAGGAAAGATCTAAATATTTGAATTTTTTTTTCTTTAAAGGAACTTGACACACACATTGGATTTCCTACTGATCCCAAACCTAGGATATTTTGTACATTTAAGATGATGATCAGTAATTTTTTAAAAATTACTTCCCTTAAGAAACTGTAATTTTTTTATATTGCTTGTTAAAATTGAACAAGTTGTCTTTTTTCCTTTGTAGAGCTAAATAAAGATTCAAGTCAAATACATTCTGAAGCATTGCTTACCACTAATATAGTGCCAATGTACCCGAGCTTTCAAGGTACACATTTTCAACCTTGTATTTGATCATTTCAATGACTTTCTGTATAGTAAAGTATTTTCTTTGTAATGGGAAAAATTTAGTCAGCTAAGTTATTAGATATCAAGTATATCTTAAATGTATAATTTTTAAAATAATAGTATACTAGCCTAGTCAAAATTACAATATACTCTACTATTCTGCTTTGTATTAAAATGTTTATAAACATTTTTTCACTGAAAAAATATGTAATATTCTTCTTAAAATTTATCTAGCTAATACATTTTACCAATATTTATAGTAATTCTCAATCAGTTTCTCTGTTTAACTATTTGGAAGTTTATAATTATTTTTTATTTGTAATGAATAGGTTTTTATCTCCTCATTAACTGTTACAGCCTTTGATTCTTACAGGAATAAATATTCTTTCAGTATTTAAATTGACTTATGGAAATTGAAAATACAGCACCTAACAAGTAGACTTTCACTCTAATTCATAATGAAAATACTTGTGTATATTTCAAAGGAAGAATATTATAGTAAATTTGAATAAAACATTAAATTTGCATTGGTGATGGCTTAAAGATGGTTGCTTACTCCAAATTCAGAAAAATTGTGATTCCAAGTTCAGTGATGCCTGAAAATGAGGCTAAGTCCCCCAAATGCCAAAGATACGTAAAGAATGTTGGCCTTGCATTAAGACCAGAAGCCCAACTTTACTTTATCTCAATTTATTACATATGTTCTATTTGGATAATAATGTTAATTTATTTTATGTAGCAGTGTGATACATTTTAACATATGTCTTTTTCAAGTCATCCTCTCTTCTTTCCTGTTGCAGTTATATGGCAGTATATCCATGGCAGTCTACTGCGAAGATATGCTGATGAGAGAAATGGTGTCAATGTTGTTAGTGGTCCTGTGTTTGACTTTGATTATGATGGACTTTATGATTCCTCAGAGACTCTGAAACAGTAAGAACATATTTCATTGACTCATAAAAATTATGTCAAATGGAATCACTGTCATCAACTGGATCATCAGAACGTCTTTTTGTTTGCTTGTTTATATATGGGACATTTTAGACTACATTTGAAACCTTCAGAATATCTGAACCCTTCTGATATTTCTCTCAGTAATCAGGGAGATATTTCTCTAGGGTGTCTTTTCCAGTGTAGAAAGAGCAAGGGCCATGTAGAGACAGACATATCTGACCTCTACCAACTCCACTCGGGGGAGCTGTCCCCATCATCATTATCATCCACAACACAAAGCCAATTCCCATAAAGACAGATAGGTCCCCCACACTTCTGCACCTCTTCCTACTAATAGAAAAACAAATATTTACACATTTTTAAAAATTGAGATACAAAAGAAAAGCCAGTTAAAGTAAAATTTACAGCAATGTGTCTTACCTGAAGAAACTAGATTAACAGTCCTCACTAGATCCATTCTCTCCACTTTCCTTACCACAAGTGCAGAGTTTAAAAGGGTCTCAGTAACACTTTGAAACTTTCATTGTAGGTGTTCAAAATGATATTTTATTTTCTTTAAATCTTTAAAGCCCAGAGTATTTAGTTAAATTATAAAGAAAATTTCATTTGTGTAGAAAATAGAAATTATTTGGATTTAATTTTTCTGTCTTCTAATTATCAGTCTAATAAAATGTTGCAATACTTTTATTTCACTTTTTCTACTAATTGACAATATATATAAATGATTTAGTAGATTTTCTTTTTAGCTATTAAAAATAATAATTTTTATTAAAGAATAATTTTCTTTTTAACTATTAAAAAATAGCTATTTATAGCTATTTTCTTTTTAGTATTAAAACAATGCTTTCCTGTAATAGTCATGAAAAGGAAGATAGGCATGTGTTTCTTAAAGTGAATACTGGCATGTTTTACAGAAACCGCAAACTCATCCGTAATCAAGAAGTTCTGATTCCAACTCACTTCTTCATTGTGCTGACAAGTTGTAAAAACACATCACAGACTCCCGTGCAGTGTGAAAGTTTAGATACATTAGCTTTTCTTCTGCCTCACAGGCCTGATAACAGTGAAAGCTGTGTGGTAAGTAGCTTTTCTTAATTTACCTGAATTTTTTTAAAATATGTGTGTGTGTGTGTGTGTGTGTGTGTGTGTGTGTGTGTGTGTGAAATCTGATACTAGAGGGAAAAAAGTCATGACTCTTGAATATTTATGCAGCTTGAAATTACAGAATGGCTTTAAATTTGAGCCATTACGGTATCTTTGAGGATGACCACTCTTAAACATGTGTTAAAGATACTAAATATTAGAACAGAGAGTAAAAAACTGAGTGACCTCCATGGCTTAACCACGTTCTTCTAACTTACTTGAAGTATGAACTTATTTTTTAATTCAGAACTTTGATTTATTATTCCAGAATTATCAGCATTGTCATAAAATAGTTTTAAAGTTGTGGTTCCTATTGCCAGTCTAGTGTTGGTTTGAATACATTACATATTATCTTATCCTCAATTAACCTTTATCCCTATTGCCCATCCACTGTTGGATACATGACATATTGGTCATTACATTTTATCTTATATTTATCTCATTTATCTTAGAACATAAAGATTGCATGCAATTTAAACTATTTTGTTTTCTTTATGGTAAGCCAGAATATTTTCTTTTTCAGAGTACTTCCACATTTTCTCTGTGTGTGTGTGTGTGTAAATTTTTTTTTTCCCTCTCATTGAGTCAGTCTGGATCAGAATCCGCAAACATGGTCAGGCTTTCATATCAGTGCCAGTAGACACCTAGACCCTATGGTCAAAATGATCTTAAGGCCTGTTTTGAGCTCAGCCTCATTCATTCACCTCTTTAATTGTTCATTTATCCCTCTTTTGATCCAGCCATTTAGTCATGTAACAAATATTTCTTGTCAACTACTGTGGAATTGGGGACACAGCAGCTAACAAAATAGATAAAACAGACATTAGTATTTGCTGTGGGCTACTTGCTATCCCTAATAGTTTTTCCATGTACTTGTTATTAAAAGAGTTGCTACATTTCTCCCTAATTGTTTATGAGAAACTTTCTGCACTATTTGAAAATTCCTCATAGAACACATTTCTCATCAAGCTGTTTTTTATTTTCACAATTAAATTAGAACAGCAGGGTCTCAGCTATTTGTATGTGTGTTGTGAATCTTAACTGCTAAATGATCAATATTGTGGATGTTATACTTTATTGCTTTTTCATTGAGAGATTGAATGTACCAGAGTTCGAAAGAAGTTCAACTAAAAATAACACAAGACCTACTTAAAGTGACTTGAAAAAGTAAAGAGTTAGAAATTCCAGAGGTACATGTCTAAATATGATACATTGGCTCAACACCACCATCAAGAATTCAGCCATTTTTTATCTTTCTGTTGCACCATTCTCAGCATGTGGCTTTGATCCAAAGTCCTCATGGGCTAAAATTTAGTTCGGTTTCTTTAGATATATGTACATTTTCCCCTTTGGGAGAAAAAGGAAGGTAGAACATGTTTTTTAAAAGAAAGACAGCAATGAGTTTGCTTACATCTCATTGACCATAATGATTTCAAGTGTTACGAATAACGTATTTTCATTTTTTTCTCTACCATTACAAAATTATATTATACCAATATCTTAAATTTGAACTTTTTATCAAATAATATAATGGCAGTGTACCTAGAAGACACTAAGTACTGAACTTGAACAGGAGAGAGGATTATTTGTAGGTATATCGCATGTAATGGGCATATCTCGGTTCTAGACCATTGCAGCAAAGGGAATATTGTGAGAAAACAAGTCATACGAGTTTTCTTCATTTCTCAGGGCATACAGAAATTCACTTACTCTATATTATAGGCTATTAATTGTCTAACAGTGTTATGAGAAAGTTTGAAATTTTGTGGAGACTGCTGAAATGTGACAGGGAGACAGATAATGAGCATATGCTGTGGAAGAATGGTGCCAGTTGACTTGTTTTAACACATGACTGCCACAAACCTCCGCTTTGTAAAAAATTCAGGATCTGCTAACTGCAGTAAAATGCGGTATACCTCTACCTGTTACCTGAATGTCAACAGTCAGTATCCACTTGTTTCCTCTCTGCAGTAGTGTCTTAGGTCTAAGTGGGTATTGTCCGGGAGAATGGATGCTTTGGAACTCATGACAAGTGGCTAGTGTCCAAACATCCCTCAAGTCCAGGCTCTTCTCCATAGAGTTGTTATGGTGGCCTGCCATCGAGTCAGAACTGACCTGTAGCTGATCCTCCAGCAGGTTTTCAGAGGCAGTAAATTACATGGAAGTGATTACCTGTCTTTCTCCTGTGAAGGAGCTGGTGGGTTCGAACTGCTTGCCTTTGTATTGGCAGTGCAGTTCCAGAACAATAAACACCAAAGTTGTCTCCTTAGAATAAAACCAAACATTCTTCTGGAGAGGGAGACTAAGTAGGGAAGCAGTAGTGGATCGTGAGTAATTAGAGGCTAATGGGGAAAAATGAAGTTTAGCGGTCTGTTTTCCAACTATATGAAAAGTCTATATTAAGTTCAACTGACTATGTTCAAAGGGCCATGAATCGTTATTGAAGGATTTTGTAAAAGTACTGCCTGGTAAATAGTTTTTTCATCTGATCTTCTTCAGTGATATTTTTCAGAAAAATATACACTACCACAGAGATGTATGATTTCTATCCTTTTTTTGAATTTGCCAAAGCATCTGCCTATAATTCCTTCTTGATCTCAAATCGCTTGAGCTTTTACTACTTTACCGGAGATAAAATTGCGTTTGATTTCTTTCCCAAGCCCATTTTTCATAAGACTGAGTAGGTAACTCATGATATTAAGAACTAGTGTTTACATAAAGCTTTTACACTCATTATTCCATTTACTTAACAAAGCAGCGCTACAAAGAGAGTCTATCTAAAGGATCTAGATTCAGATTTAAATAACTAGTCCCAGTTTACTTGGTAAGGTAATGGTAGAATTAAGACTTGAATCTGAATTTGTTCATTTTAATTCCTGCATTCTTTGTATTGTGATATGTAACTTCAGTATTAACCCTACACTGTTTAAGTTTCAGACATACTCTCCTTCACTACTATATGCAATTAAACAGACATACACGTTGTGTATTACAGTCTTCTTCAAAGCGGCGACTGCTCCTAGCAAATCTGTTCTCTTCTCTTTGGGAGCTAACACATCCCAGCTGGTTATTTATACAGTGTGGAGATGATTTAAGTGGGGAATGTGAACTGATGGTTCATCAGTGACTTTTCTTTCTTTCCTGTACCCACAGAATGGGAGGCCAGAATCATTATGGGTTGAAGAGTTGCTGCAGTTACATGGAGCCCGGATCGCAGATATTGAGCACATCACTGGACTGAGCTTCTATCAAGAAAGAAAAGAGCCAGTTTCAGACATTTTAAGATTGAAAACACATTTGCCAACTCTCAGCCAAGAAGAATGAACTGTATATATTTTTTTTATTCTAAAAACACACCATAGATCTTTTTTTAAAAAAAGAACCTTATATTTTATACAACCGTCTATTCATATCATTGCATTGTTTAGAAACTGTCAACCAGAGTTAGAACTGGGACTCCTCTGTGATATGAACATCTCAGGGAAACTTGTGGACTCAGCTCAGCAGTAGGAGAATGTTCCTGTTGAGTCTTGCACATATTTGAATGCGTACAATTTGTATACCTTGTTCAAGTTTTCTAGAATAAAGACAGACCATACCCCAGACTGCTGTTTTACTTTTCTTAAGGGGAGGAAGATGTAAACATTCTCTGAAAATCATGTATTTACATTTTAATAAACTTTATGGAGTTGGCCAACAGTAGATGAATGGATAAGATTAGAATAGTTCACAGACTATTAGTATCATCACAGAAATTTAAGTGATTCTGGATTTCTGGTAGCTCAGATTTTCATTTCTTTCAGTCAAAGATTAATGGAAGCACAATATTTCTAAAGTCATATTTCTCTTTTCTACCTACTGTATGAAGAGTGAAAATATCAATGTTATTTTTTTTTCTTGTTTTATTCAGATTAAGTAATAGTTCTCACAATGCAGACCTTCAGGAGATCATCTATGAATCTGTGTTTATCTGCCTGATAGAATATTTTATTCCACATTTGTACAAAGAAAGAAAAGTATTCTCATCCTGCTGACTGGGAAGTAATATAGGTTGGAAACAGCTCAAAAGTGACTGTTTTAGAAAAATAAGCATTTTCTTGGTGAAACTTCAGAGAGCTTGTCAACACAATAAGTTATCTTGATGAAACTTGAGAGAACGTGTCAGCACAATAAAAGGCAACATTTTCTTTTATTGGAGCATTTATTAAGAACATTTTCTTCTCTGTGCAAAAATTATCCCACTAGCCTCATAGCTGTTCTTCATTAAGCTGTACCTTTTGAAGTTCTATGGATTTGGAGACCATGTCACCATCAGTTCGTATCTATTATTCACCTATATTCTTGTAATATACTCCCAGGCATATGCATGCCTTTCTCTTTTAAACATCTTTTTCTACTGTTGGTTGTCATCAGTTCCATGCAGTAAAATGTGATGTTGTTAGATGCCATCACATTGGCCTTGACTCACAGTTGACTCTGCAGAAAACAGAACGAAACCCTGCCTGGAGTTTTGCAGTCTCTCACAATCTCTGCTGTGCCTCGGCCCATTGTTGCAGTCACTGTGGTAAAGCTTCTCGCTGAGAATCTTCCTCTCTTTCTCTATTTTTTTGTTGTTGTTCTTTTGTAGGCACTTTACCCTTCCTGATGACATTCCCAAAGTATGTGAGAAATCTCACCGTCCTTGCTTCTAAAGAGCACTCTGCCTCCTCTTCTTTCCAGACAGATTTGTTTGTTCTTTAGTGGTCCATAGAGTATACTCGGTAATCTTCACCAGCATCACAATCCAGAGGCATCGTTTCTTTGTTCTTGCTTATTCATTGTCCAATTTCATGTGTCTGTCAATCAATTTAAAATGTGAATTTACTTCTGTGTCTCAGTTCAGTACTTCACAAGTAAAGTAGTCAATTTCCGTAGAAAATCTCATGCTAGTCAGTTCGTTCATGACAGGTCAGAGAGCCAGATGGAAATTAAAAATATTTCTAAAAATCAGTAAATGTTTCAGTATATGCCTGAAACACAATGTATATGAATGATAATATTATTACTTGAGAAAAGACATGGCCTTGATAAATCATGATATTTATATAGAATAGCAAAGAACTCTTTTGCTCATTCATGCCTTTAATACTAGGATACTATTAATGAAGTTCTGTTTTATTGAAATCACTAAATATATATATATATATATATCTTTCTAAACATCAGAGAAAAGGGAACAAGCCTTAAGGAGCAGAAGGTGACTTCATGTTCTCTCAGGGGACATAGATATTTAGAGTCCCAAAAACAGGCTGATCTGGTTCTGTTCAAGGACATAAGAAAGGTGTATCACCCACCACTCGCCACTCCAGAAGAGACCTTTCTGCTATTAGTCACTATAGTAACTGCCCTGATACATGGGAATATGCTTATTGAGAGTAGGAGCTGGTGTTTGAACTTTGAAATAAAGTATGATTGCACTTCTTACTGAAGTTTATCACAGACTTTTGATACGTGAGTGCTTTTGTAGGTATTAGTACAAGTTTGACATGTCTAGAATTCAAGGACATTTTCCCTGGATTTTGGCCAATCTAAGTACTGTCACATGCCTCTGGAAACTATGAACTTTGAGACACAACTATAGTTAAAGAAAGGCTTCAGGTCTTTTTTTCATAGAGTCACCATGAGTGACTCAATTTGACAATGAACAACAAGTACTGTCAGGGAAGAGGGGAAATCTACGGAATACAGGCACTTTTAAACTAAGAAATGTCGGTTCACAAATAAAGCATAGATCTCAAAGCTTGCCTGCTTTTCTGTGTGAATATGCTTGAGGACTGAGGAGTAGGGGAGTGGTGTTTCTCTGGGTCCAAGGGTTGTTGACAATCAGCTGTATTGTTGGAAGGAGAGAAAAGATCAAAGTTCACTTCTGGTTCCTAGAGTAAACATCCATTCTGATCCATGACCTATATCTTTTTAAATTTTGTTTTAATTATATTTAATCACACTTCTAGGTAAAACCCAGGTCATTTATAAATACCCTTCTAATACTTAGATGTGTCTAAAATCAACAGTGAAATGTCCCATTTTCAGCCTTCCTTGACTTTTCAGTGTACAGTTTTTGTTTCCCCCCTCATTATATATGTAATGATTGTTGAGGTACAAATAGAGCCCATTATTTGAAATCATATTCATGCCAGAAACATCCACCGACTAGAAGTAGAAAGATCTCTGGGTCAAGTAGCGCACCTGTAAATTACTGAAAGGAAGCAGTGCAGGCCTTTCTAAACCAGAATTTAAAACCCCACTTAAATTTTAAATTGAACTTGCCCAGAAATTCTCAAGTCAGAAAATAAGAGTTCAATAAAAACAACATCATTGGAAAGTCATTTCTTATTTCAACAATTCAGAACTGAGGATGTATTTTGCCTTTCAGAGTGGAGGTAAAAATGAATTTACACTGGATCTTTCCTATTCCTTCACACCATCACCACCACCTCATCTGCCTACCAAACTCTACTATGCTAGTGATTACCCCTTCCCCATTTTCTGCCCACCCCAAGCCTTTTCTGCTTCCTCTTTTTTGTCTTTTACATGCACCTTACTAGTTGTTATTGTTGTGTACCAATAATGTTCTTTATGTAATATTTGCCCTTAAGAGACTGAGAGGAGCTCTGGTGGCCTAATGGCAAGAAACCACGCTGCAATCCCAAAGGCAACACGGTTCAAGGCCACCATTTGCTCTGTGGGTGAAGGAAGGACAGTCTCCTCCTGTGTGATTAATTGTCTCTGAAAACCCACTGGAGGGTCAGCTATGGGCCTGATTCTGGTACACAACAACAATAGCAACAACAACAGGAGACTGAGGCCATTCCGCACAACGCTCTCTAGACTTCCCCATGTTATACAAATTTTAGAAGACTTTTGGTTCTTAATATGCAAACCAATATCAAATAAAAGAAAATTAATATCTAGAAATGTGATTTGTACAATGTCTCTTGATTATTTCACCCCATAATATCTAGGAGTTTTTATTACTAAACTTGTGTTAAGCATGCACATTATGGCATTATGTTGGGTGTGATCTAAAGGAAATAAAACGGGCTTCTGAAGGATAAGATCATCAATTAAGAAGAACTTTGGAGAGTTGATTTCAAATGGGACTGATACTCTATGTCAATCAAATTTTAGTAAGACCTCAGATGACAAAATTTTAGATTCTCCTCAGAGAGCTGGACCATGAGCAAAGATGACAGAAGAAGAATTGATGCCTTTAAGTTGTGGTGCTGGAGAAGAGTATTGAACATACCAATTCTCTTGGTAAAAGCTCACAGTTCTATCCTGGAGAAGACCAAGCTGTTTCTTGGAGGCACAAATCTTGAGACTCCATCTCACATACTTTGGGCATATAACCAGGAAGGACCAGTCTTTTGAGAAGGTATCAAGCTTTGAAGGTTCAAGGGACAGTACAGGAGAGGAAGACCCTGGATGAGATGACTTGACACAGTAACTGGGGTAATGAGGGTGGGTTGGTCAGAGACAGTGAGATTGGCTCAGGATAGAGCAGGGTTCACAGCTATTGTGCATGGGGTCACTCTGAGTTGTGGTCGACTCAACACACATAACAATCTTTGATTATTTTGTACTTTAACATAACTTCAACATATTTGTTTTGAATAGTTATTTCAACTTGGATCCAAGTAGAAATAGGTATCAAAATTTTTCCATGGGTTTTGGTACTTAAGTTCTCATTGCTGTTCTACTTAATAGCACACTCACTATATGACATTTGAAACTACATTATTTAACATCAAGAATAACAATAGATTTCAACCCCATGTTTGTTGTTGTTACCTGCCGTCGAGTTGTTTGCGACTCATAGGGACCCTATGTACGACAGCCCTAAACCCTGCTCTATCCTGTGCCAATCACACTGCTTCTGACACACCCATCCCGATTACCCGAGTCACTGAATCAATCCACCTTATGGAGGGTCTTCCCCTCTTAGGCCGTCCCTCCACCCTCCCAAGCATGATGTCCCTCTCCAAGGACCTGTCCCTCCTTGCAACATGCCCAAAGTATGTCAAACGAAGCCCCAAAATACTTGCCTCCAAGGAGCAGATCTGTTTAACCCTCTCCAGGATGAATCTGTTTGTTTTCTTGGCAGTCCATGGTACATTCAACACTCTTCTCCAGCACCACAGCTCAAAGGCATCAATTCTCCTTCTGTCTTCCCTAGTCATTGTCCAACTCTCTGATGCATAACAAGTGATTGCAAAGACCATGGCCTGTATCAGGTGCACCTTAGTCTCCAGAGAGACACCGTTGCTCTTGAGTACTTCAGAGAG